ACAAATGCAATAAAAATATGATAACTAATATATACACAATCTTTCACGTGTTGTCCTTTAATAATATAAAATCAAATAAATTAATTAAATGCAAAATTAATATTTACACACACAATTTGTATATACGAATAGCTATATGTGTATAACCAGATAAGAAATAATGTTTTTTTTTGAGGGGCATAATACTTGCATTAGAAAAAATTTTTTATATTTTCTTATCTTCTTTAGATCTTTAACATAAATTGTATAGGACAGATTTCATCATATCAAATGCAAAGATTATATAAAGAACATCTATACATACAAATTCTTTCTTATTTAAAATATTTAAAATTCTCTTTTGATCATCATGATGGAATTTTTCTTCCCTAATGCAAATTATAAATAAAATGTGCTTTTAAATTATAAATCTTTTCATCTTATATATGAATGTATACGTATATAATATAGGTACAATTATTTTAATATTAAATTGTAATAGAGCTGTCATACCAATTAGTTCTACATCAATCTCAATAGAAAAAAAAAAATTAAACACATGTAATATATACCGCACATATTTACATACATACATGGATACATGCATTATGAACAAACATTATGAGATCAAATTGAGCAAAGAAATATAAAAGGTAAATAAGTAAGTATGAAACATACAAGAAGAAATTAAAACCCGTGTGCATCATAAAACCGATCTAGGCATGTACAGTTGACGTGTGCAATTGTAAAATCTGGCTGAATCTATTGCAAAAATAAAAACAGAAATGCGATGAGTATTTAAGTTTTTTTTTTGTTTTTTTTTTTTTTTTTTAATTTTTCTATGTATATTTTACTTACAATATAAAAATGTAATATCAAGTTCATGTCAAAAGTCTTTTAGAAAAAAATTAAAAGAAATCCCGAACTATAAAAAACAATCATCAGTTGGAAAAAAAATAAAAACAAGAAAAATTTAAACAGCTCTCTTTTAAGTCTTGAATAAATCCGACTCTTCTAAACTCTTCTCTTCTGTTTTTATTATTTTTGTTATTCTCATTTTATGATTTGTTGCTTTTGTTTTGTTTGGATTATATTATCAAAAGGACTTTGAATAAATTGCCGACTTTTATTCAATTTTTGGTTACTATAAAAATAATAATAAAAAAAAAATAAAATAAAAAAATAAAACCCTTTTGTTTGATGCCTTTAAGAATATTTTTTTTTTTTGCATATTTTTTGCATATTGTAAATAATTTTTTTTTGTCATAGTTTTCGGGCAAACCATTAAATGTAGTTATTACGATAGGGGCAGTTCTGAAAATATTTTTTTTTTTGTTTTTTTTGGAAATAATTGAAAATTATAATGGTAAAAATTATTATTTTTCAAAAATTCAGACTTGGCGGCAATCTGGCGTGAGAATCACAAAATTATAGGAACAGACAGTGGAACATTATGGGAAAGTTAGTTCAAAAGAGAAAGAGAGGGGTAATTGGATATTAACGGAAAATTAAAAAATATAATGTTAAGAATAATGTCAATTGCAATGCAGTAATATACAAATAGAGTGTAAGTACTAGATTTGTTTAATGAATACATAAATCTAAAAATTTATTGGTTATGGTACTTAAACTGGTTATAGTCATGTTCATATTGGCCTATTCTTAAAATTGTACTTTCTATGAAAATTATTAAATAATTTTGTTTTGGAATTTCAGTAGCAATCGGGCTTGTTTACATAATTGGAGCCTGTTTGTTTAACAAAAACTCTATAAAAATGATTAAAAATTTGATAAGTGATTTGAGTTCTTTCCGAAAATTCTCTCATTTGTTTGCTCTGTGATTTTTATTTTCTCTTTTTTTCAATTCTAAATAATCTGAGAGCAAAACTTGATTGACATTTTAAATTTCTCTGAGATTTTGCAATCATAGACAAAAATTGCAGATTTTGTCTGTTAATTGACTGGCACAGTATAGAATTCTAATCAAAATTTCATGGTCAAATTATAAAAATCTTATTAAACAGTCCAATTCTTTATGTAAATTTTTTAATCTTCCATTTTGAATCGTCCTTTTGGATTTGTTATGATCAAAAAAAAATATTTAAAAGAATTTTTAGTTTTTGACTTTTTCTTGTGACTTTTTATTTTAACTGTTTTTGGGGCTATATAGGATATACATACGTATATGTTAATGCATATATCACTGCTATTTGAGAAGCTTATGGTCAGAGAAACTAGAGATCATATTCAGCTAACAAAAACAGAAACGAAAAAAAAAAGAAGACAATTGAAAGTAAAGAAAAAAAAAGAAATAGATTTTGGTCTGGAATTCTTTGGTTCTTTCTTTTCAAAAAAAATGAAAAAAAGTAAAAAATAAAATGGGGACAAAAAAAGTTCACAAAAATGTCAAAGAAGAACCCTTTTTTTTCTCTATAGAGTTGTGCCTGTTTTCATTTTTGCTTTGTATTTTTTGTTCTGTCCATAAGGTTTTTTATTTTGTCTTTTGTTGTTTTTGCGAAAATTTCTTATTTTTCATCAGAAACTTGGTGCCAGATTGTGCAATAATCTGGTTGTCTTGTCTTCACTTTTTATTTTTTCGAGAATTAGATTTTTTCTTCTCTTTATTATTATTTTTGTTTTTAATTTTTTTTTTTGTATTTGTACCTTAACTTTAAATGGCCCTCAATGTGAATTCCTCATTCTATGTTAGCCATTGTGTGCACCGATTTATATTTAATATTGTATTTGGTATGTAGATTTGTGCAGTTTAGATGCTATTTTTCTCTATCGTGTAAGTATGCTTTGAAGACATGAGACGGAGACCTTTGGTCAAGGAAGTCATCCTGTTATAATAGCCGACTTTATTTTTTGTTTTCTTTTTTGTTGTGCTGCTCTCTTTTTCATCTTAATTATTATGTTTTGTGCATACATAGACGTTGCTACAAAAGAGAAAAACTTTTTCTTATATTTTTTTTTTTTTGTAATTTTCTATTTTTTGCATTTCATATTTTTGTGTTTTATTCGTTATCGAAGTAATAAGTCTCTATATAGTCACTGGTCTAAGATATGAGAATAAAAGAGAATTATGATTGAATATTAAAATAAATTATCGTATGGTTTTTATATAGATAGAAAAGTTTTTATGAAAAAATACAAAAGATTTTGTGGAAGGAAATTTTTTTTTTCTTTTCGAGTTCATTTTAAAGAATTTAGTTCAGAAACTTGGAATAGTTTTAGTGTTGAAATGAGCATAATGAAATTTTTAATTTTAATTTTTTTTTATTATAAAATTGTTATTGTTTAAGGTTAAAATGTGTGGAAAATGCATACAAGAGGTATGAAAATGTGAGATAATAAATTTGTTCCACAACTATTATTAGTTTTTTACAATAATAATAGAAAATGTGCTTTTCTTATTTCTTGTATTTGGAAACCTTTCATGTATGGTATGTTCGAGTGTGATTAAATGTTGATTTAAACATATACCGGAAATGATTTTGTATAATTGAAAAGTGTGATGAAGTTTCAGTGTTATTGTGAAATTTTCCGATATGTAAGGACTTCAAATTTTTAATTAAGTTGAAATTCGATTCAAATAAAAATCGGACGGATAAAAGTCTCAATTGATTTTTATTGAATAGCAAAAAAGTTAATAGAGACCAAGTTAGAGTTTATATGATTGATTTCTTCTTTTGATATATTTTTTGTAGAATGTAGAATCTCGCTAGAAAACTGTTCAATTTTAAAGAGGAAGCTATCAAAAAATAGAAAGTAAACGTGCTTAGTGGTATTCTACGCCTTTTAAATGACTATGTTATAAATGACTTTGTTCTCCTAAAATATTCATTACATTAATCCTTGATTTGATTATTACACTGAATTACTTTTTAAAATTTCGTTCTAAAGCAATACTTTCCTTATTTTGTGGAATGCGGTCGGCAATAAGCAAAAATCGAAATTCTGTTAATTAGGAAAGTTTTTACAAGAATATTTATTGGAATTTAAATTTCGTTTTCTTATTTAACATTTTTTGTAACATTGTTTTCAAATAAATTTTTTGAAGGTAGTGGATACTTCAGAACGTCGGTTAAAAGGCAGAAAGCACTAAGTGCATTTTTTGAGAATTCGGATTTCATAGATGAATTAAATCAGAATAATATAATCTTTGTTGTGGCAAAAAATTATGCAAATCCAGAATATAGTTTATAAATCCAGATATTAAAGAGACCAATTCCATTGCACTAATTGATTAGTTTTACAATTTTACGATTTTTTCAAATTGAATTTACTTAAAACACAGTTTCTTGACTTAATGCTTTCTGCTTCTTAACCGACGAGAAGCCAATATTTTTTATTTTCCATATAATAGGATCGCTTCTAAGTTAGTTGAAATTTTAATAAATGTGAATTTTAATAGTTCTAAGTAAATGTGTCTCGTGCTTTATATAAAGTTTATAATGTTTGTTCAAATTGTGAATTAAGTATAGACTCTAAAATTACATTCCTTTAAATTATTAAAATCTAATCAAATATTTTTCCAATGGACAAGCACGAAATGCCGCTTTAACAACAATTAGATCTATATTTAGCAATTGAAAATGTATTCGTGGAGAACCAAAAATGTGATATTCATGAAGGTAAACGAATTTTGCTTCAGATTCAAATGGTACATAAGAATGTGAATGCTGTAATTTTAATTACAGTCATTTTAATTATTTCACTTTACTCAAATATATTATGTATAAGTTTTCTCTACCAATAAAGTCTTATAAATTCATATATAAAATCAAAATTTGCTGAAATGTCTTCTTCTTCTTCTTTGGCTCTACAGCTCCTGGTAAGCTTTGGCCTTGTTTACTATTTGCCTCCATATTTCTCGATCTTTAGCCTCTGTTTTCCAGTTTCTGACTTGAAGTTTAATGGTGTCATTTTTAACATTGTCTTCCTATCTCGTTCTTGGCCTTCCTCTGTTGCGATTAAATGTAGGTCTGCTTTGTAAAATTCTATATTGTGGTAAATTTTCATTCATTCGCACAATGTCCTGCCCACCTTAAACGTTGCGATTTACTGAAACGTATTATGTCTTCATTCTTAATAAGATCATTAATTTCGTTATTATTTCTACGTCTATATTCTCCGTTTTCTATTCTTATTGCACCAAATATTTTCCTCAGTATTTTTCGTTCGAAGATTCTTAGATGGCTTTCCTCCGCTGCATTCAATGTCCATATTTCGCATTCATATGTTACAACAGGACGAATTAGAGTTTTATATATTTGTATCTTAACATTTCTTTTTAAAAGTCTTGATTTTATAAGCTTTCTATTCGCAAAATAACACCTGTTATCTGCTTTAATACGGTCCTGTAGTTTTATTTTCATTAATCTTAAGACCTACTCTTTTTACTTCCATGTCTAGCATTAAAAAGGCTTCTTTCATATCGCAAAATCTTCTCGTAACTATTGCAATGTCATCTGCATATGCAATGATTTGATATGCTCTTATAAAAATGTGGCCGCCTTTATCTAGTTTTCCAATTGCATATTGAAGTACTATATTAAATACCAGCGCTGATAGCGTATCCCCTTGTCTTACTCCGCTTGTTATATTAAATACATCTGATACACTGTCTTGTATTAAAATTTTTGCTTGTGGTCATATTTATTAATTCAACAAGTTTCTTTGGTACTCCTAACTCTAACAGGGCTTTAGGAATGTTCTTTCTGTTTATGCTGTCAAATGCCTGTTTAAAATCTATGAATAATATATGCAAATCAACATTATATTCATAGCATTTCTCCATGGCTTGCTTAATTATAAAAATTTGATCGATTGTGGATCTACCAGTTCTAAAACCACCTTGATATTGTCCTAATATTTCTTCATAATATTTCTTCATTTGCTGAAATATAATTCAATTTAAATAGAAAACCATTTCCATATGGTTATAAAATTTAACAATTTACATACCAAAATAAATGGTAGTATGTTTTCTTTATAATGAAAAATTTTGATTTTAACTAAGAAAACACGTACCTACAGAACTACTACTAGAAAACATTTGATTTTTTTCTTTTTTGTTCTTTTTCTATATTTTGTTTGCTTTTTAATTAAAAAACAACATTCATGAGAATTACTCCTTCTGTGTTATTGTTCATATATCCTTACAAAATAAAAATATAATGAAATGAAAACAAAGGAAAAGGAAAAGGATAGAAAATTTGAAAATTATAATTTTTTTCTTTCCCTTTTCCCTATTTTTTTTTTCATCGCGCTTAATTTTCCAATGAAACCAATTGCAAACAAAAAAAAAAAACAACAGCAAGAAATTTATTTTTTTTTTGTAGTAAAATCCTGCATTGTACTCTTCATTTAATCCCAAGTCAATTTACATATTGTCTGGACATCATTGATCCTATTGTTGAATTCAGGATTAATCTTTGGAAAATAAAAAATGTAAAAAAAAAATTAATGTTTATTTTGTTGCCATTTCGTTTTCTAAAATACGTTTTCCATCTTAAAGCAAAAAAAAAAAAAGAAAAAAATTGATTAGGTAAGAGTACTCGAGTAATAGAACACATATTAGGTACGTACGTAAATTTCAAATGGAATGGGCGTGTAATAGAAAAGTTTTTTGCATTGTAATTTCGTTTTAGTCTTGTTTCAAAAATATTTGAGCTTTTGTGGTAATATTGGATTATTAGATATTAAAATGATCTTTCGAGTCCGATTCTTCAACTGTAATAGAGGCAAAATTTGGAAATTTATTTAAGAAGAAAGATTTTTGTATGTTGTTTAGAATGGGACACGAACAATATTTCATTATTGAATCAAATAACATTAAATCATGATAAGAGTGCAGTTATTACAAAAATATCGAAACTGAAAATTGCCAAATTGAGAAAGTTTTCAAGTAAATTCAAAATTATCAAAATTATAGTTAAAAAATTTGACTCTATTTTACATAAATTTTTCCTATTACAGTGAATAATTTTAAAGAAGTGACATTTGTTTCGAAAATGTTGCTGTCGCAAATTGATTTCTACTATATGATGTCAATCTCATTGTTATTTCTCTTAAATTATTAAGCTTTTTAAGGTGAGCTACAGATAAAACATGATTATGGAGAATTTAAAATGTAAGTCAATTTTAAAATCGAATTTATCATGAATATTCGTCTATTATATTTATGGGACTTTTATGAATTCACCAAGAGTTCATTCGAATAGCTTTAAATTTTCCATATTAATTGCCTTTAAGATTTTATTCCAATATAGTCCTATAGTCAGACGTAATTCTACTAAAAAGTATTTGTTGATATAAAAGATAAAAATCAACAACAAAAAACACAAAAAGAATGAAAAAGACAGCACTATACTCTTGTCGTTGTAAAAATGTAACGACATTAATAACAATAAAAACTATAAATGTTATCAAGCGTTAACAAACACTGCAGACGTAATGTATTTCACATTATAATGGTTATGTACATTTTACACATTAACAAACACACTTACACACATATTTTTTAAATTAAAATATATAAAAAAAAATTTTTATATTGAATTGCAAAAATCTGCATGCACATATTATCCATATACATACCAAAAACAAGTACATTTAATCCTTCAGGACAAACAATAATAACCGAACTTTAAAATGAACATACAAAAAAAAAAAACCAAACACAAAGCTAAAAAACAAACAAACAATACGGAATTTAAAAACCAATCACTCACATCCTGGGATTATAGTTTTGTAAAATTGTTAAAAAACAGAGAAAATAAAAGGAGAAAAATAGGAAAATTTGCAAAAAAAAAAAAAAAAATTATTTCTAGAAGTGGAAACAAAAAAAATGAGAAAAAAAAATCATTGAAGATCGAAAATAATCGTATTTTGAATTGGTATGGCATTGCCAGGGACAGAAAAAATTTAAGTTTTTCAGCTGGTGGCAAAATATCTTTAGAAAACAGAAACAATTTTTGTTATTGTTGCATATTTTCGTTTAGTTTTTACTGAATTTGCAATTCTGGCAATTTTTAATCCTTGAAATTTCAAGATTTTTTTCACATATTAAAATTTAAGTTTATTTTGAAATTTAAGTTTATAAGTAAATTCATAAATTAAAGAAATATTCTACTGTCTGAATAAGTTTTTAAGATTTAGGAAGAGGCCTTTAGAAATGCATTATAAGAAATGCATAACTAGGAATGCATTAAAATAGTAACCATTCCTTTTAAGGTTATATAACACACTTACGGTTTGAATTTTCTAATATTATAAATGAAAAATCATAAGAATTCGTATTGTAAATAATTTTCCTAATTGTATTAATGAAATGGAATGTGCCAGAATCACTCCGCTCTTGAATTTTGAATTACAGAGTTGCTTTTAGCAAACACATCTGCCCATTTAATCTCTGATATGCTTTTGTAATAAGGAACGCATATATAATTATAGGAACGTAATATTTAACCCTGTAATCCCATCAAATTGTTATTCTATTAGCTTTGAATGCCTACTTTTTTATTTTAGAACAATAATCATGTCTTGACTATTCGTAGAACGTTTGCGCTTAAGACTTTCGTATAAAGAATTACAATGTAGAATTTTGCCCCTCTCAGAATTTTGCATTAACGAAAGAAATAAAGAAACAATTAATCTATAATACAAAATTTGTGATAAAAGCTCTGGAGATCCGCTCACATGAAAGTAATAATAAATAATATTTAAATGAACTTAAAATATTTTTATGAGAATTCAAATTCATTCGTAAAAACAAATTTGTATATTTTTATTTTACAATTGTATTAACGAATTACTCAAGGTTTGCTTCTGAAGTAAATTAACCAAAATATTGTGATTTTTAGGCCAGTAAAATACGTTAAAGCTTTTTAGAATTAATATAAATTTAAAGCATTAAGTGCTTAAATACTTCACTCTCGTTTTTTTCTTAATTTCAATTCAATGATAATATTTTTACAAGATAGCCTGAAAGTAGAATGTTCAAAATGTCGAATAAATGTCTACTTTAATCAAAATCTGACGCGCTTAACATGATTATATTGCATGCTGGCCTGTAATAAATTTAATTTTTATCGCATTAACAAATTTAAAAACTTATAAAAGTTGCGATTCAATAGCATACAAAGTTGCACTAATATTTTTTTCCTTTATAGATCAAGTACAGAAAATTATTTAAGAACAAATGCTAAACCTTTTTATGTATAGATCTGGCGCAAATCAATTGGTATTCGATAATTACTCAAAGTGTTATATCGAAAATTCTACATTTAAATGTTTGAAGTTCATTATCACTTCTTAATGTAAATGTACTGTAAAACTAAATGGGTCATCTTTGTTCAAAGAACTGTTCGAATAAATCAAATAAACCCCAGAATTTTTTAAGGTATTTTCAAATTTTGAATCATTTCAAACTTTACATTTTCCAACACAAAATTCTAGCAATTTCCGATTCAAATATTTCACAATTAATATCTTTCATAATATGATGATGATCATGCTAAGGTCAAATCAAAAAAATTTTGAAATCAAAATTATTTATAGCTTTGGTAATTGGAAAAGGGTAAAAAGAAATCAAAAATCCTAATTAATTATCATAAATGAAACAATAAGAAAAATAAAAAATTAAAATCTTATTTCCGAACCGCCTATACACATTTGATTATTTTCTCTTCATTCCTTATAATTCTGAATATTTAATCTTAATAGGCTGAATCATCACAAGATAAATTACCATTCCGCCTTGTGGAGACACAAAAATTATTAAACTAAAAATTAAATACCTAAAATTTTCACCTGAAATCATTAAGATTGGATTAATTTTAAACAGTCCATCAATTTAGATTTTATTTTTAAATATTGACATTCTAGAACAAATTATAATGTAATCATCTACTTTTATACAGCTTAAAACATTCAATATGATTAAAATATTCTGAGGATTTTTTTTTGAATATCTTAAATTTTTATACGCCTGCCTTCATCATAAATGAAAACTTATTATACATTTTGAATACAATGTTAAGGAAAGTAAAATTAAGGATTAAAGTTTGTATTGTCAATAATAGGGTATGGTATGTGAATCGCAAATATCAATGTTTAATATTCGTTGGTTTCTTGGTTAAGGATGAATAATAATCCAAAAGTATAAAATTTCTGATTTAGTAAAACGTAATATTAATTTTGGTAGATACTTTCTTGCATTACTCTAGATAAAAACTGCTCCATTTGCGAACTATTCTTATCTTCTCCATGTAACTGAGTGACTGTTTTCGTAACAGTACTTAAATTGTGAATGGGAAGTTGTAAATTAGTGTCTGGAATAACCACTCTGAAATCGCAATTAATATAGAACGATTTTACGATAAACTCTTCAAAATTCGCTTCAAAATTATAAGCGAATTTATCTGTTTCAATGAATGCCTTACAAGAATACATATACATTTCCTATACGTGCTTAAACGGTCTCATTTATTAAAAATTTCAAATGAAATCACAAACTCATAATACACTTCGAGAAAAAATATATTAGTGTATCATTAATACGGAGAATCACTTTCATATATATAGAAAGTGAACGTAAAAATTAAGTTATTGTTCTCATTATTCTTCTTTCTCTTTTTCGTAAATTTTACCGACCCGCTTTTAACATTTGAAATGCATTTTCTTTAAAATACCATATCAGACTTAATAATAAAGCAGATAATTATGTTTACAGGATTAGGAAGGATTATAAAGGTGAATAGAATGCAAAAGTAAAAGTTGAAATATTTTAAAGAATATAAAATCAGTTTTTAGTCGGCATTAAAACGTCTACTCATTCTTACCAATGTGTCTGTTATTACAATATCAAAAATTATGTATTTTTTTAATTATAAGTGAGTTCCTAAGAACACTATTTAAATGAAATGAAGAACATTTTTTTCTCGACCAAGAAGGAATTTTGGAAAAAAAATTTAAGATACTTGCTACATTAAATTTTAGTGAAAAAAGTTTTAACATTTCTAGCTCATGAATTTTGCAGTTAATGCTTTTAATGCAGCTGAATGAAAATTTATTTAAAGAACAATATGGTAATTTAGAAAGTAAAGTTTTTTTCTCATTCTGAAGACATAGGACTTCGGTAAAAAACACTACAAATGAGAGTGGCGACGTATAAGTCCCAAGAACTAACGAGCTATGTGCGGTAATGAATGTGATATTATCAGTATAGTAAATAAATCGAAAGATCTTCAAAGATATCTTCAAAGATATGCGACGTATTTTTGATGAATATCCGAGTTTTTAAGAAGGCAATTGCAATATATAATTGAATTTCGAAATAATGCCACTTAATGTATTTGGAACATCCGTATTATAAAAATATGTAGAGCATCATCCTGTATCATACTTTTTTCTCCATTTATCAAAGCCAATTTAACAAACTGCAATTATTACTTTAAAAAGCAGATTTGTTGTAACTTCAAATGCAATTGTCCAAATTAATAGGATTCAATAAGAAAATTTTTCATCAATTAAAAATATACCCAAAGTTTCCAAGTACTCTAATGAAATCTCAGTATCTTTAGTTTTTTCGTTTAGAAATGGTCAGATTTGTTCGAAAATATAAGATGAAGATTTTTTAAGAATTTGTGGAGCAAATTATAATACTTTTAAGAACTGACTGAAAATATAGTTTGGTACACCTTAATTTGTTCGAAATTTTTTGGATCCTTGCACTCACATTCAATTATGGTCATTATTAAGTTTCATAATTTGATTATTCCATCATATTTCTTAATTTTCATAGTGTTTAGTAAAAATCTTGAGGAAATATTTCACTTTCAGAGTGATAAAGATAAAATTGAACAATGAAAAAACGAAATTTCAAACATGAAAAATGTTTTCTCTCACTTGAAAATAATAATACTTCTTACTCTTCTTCTTTCTCTCTTTGCTTAAACAGAAATACAAAATGAACTCCACAATTAATTCTTTACTCTTATTTATTCATTAATTTTTATAATGACTGTCATCAAATTAAAAAATTCCTTAAAAAAGCATAAGGATTTTTAATTCTATAATTTTAAATCTCGTAGTTCAATGATAAAAAATTATTAAAAATTTAAACAATTTTGTTTTTTCAAAAAGCGCTTAAAGGGTAAAAAATAATTTTAAATTAAATTCATAAACAAAATACAATTTTTTCTCTCATCCTGAGGAAAAAGGCCAAAACAAATTTTGATAATTTAATTTTTTTTCTTAAATACAAAACAAAATTTCTTCATGCGGTATTAATTTTAATAAAAATGCATTAAAAAACTTTTAATAAGCTTTAAATTTTTGATCTTCATCCCAAAACTATAAAGCAAAATCCAGCAAAATACACGAAAAAAAAAGAAACAACAAGACGAAAAATTAATTTTAATAACTTGATTAAGAAAAGAATTTTCATATTTTCTTTAACGATATTCGACCCCAAAAACAGAAATAAAAGAGTTTGAAAAATAAAGTATGCATGTATAATCAAAGCAAAATTTTTCACCACAAAATTATTAAAATATTGTTAGAAAAACTGAAGCTACACAACTAACCAACATGATGATGACTTTCTCAGATTCTATACTGTATTTAAGACATACAGGGGAAAAAAACAAGACCAAAAAGGAGAAGAAATGTCGAAAAAAAAACTGAGAAAACTGAGTTTCTCTCATGAAAGATGAAAAGTTTTAGAAACAATTTTTGCCCTTAATATTCATATCTTTTTTTTCATTCTGCTCTTTGGATAATCCTTTCGTATATATGAGAAACCAAAGATCAAATAAGTCATAAGTATATTTTTAGAGATTCTCTTATAATATAAAAATATAATAATTTTTAATTTAATAATTATTATGAAAACTTTTATTAGACAAATTATATTTAAAATATACGAGATGCTTCTTATTTTTTTTTTCTTCTTTAGTACTGAAGAAGTTGAAAAAATTTCAGGTTTATCAATTTCACAACAATAAAGTTCAAATTTGGAGTAACACAAAATAAAAATGGTTGGGTGACCTTAGCCGTATGGAACAATTCCCATTTATACAGTATTATAGAAAAATTATTAGTTCAACTGCGATTAGTTCAAATCTCAGTATCAGAAAACACAGAACCAATTGCAATTAAAATGTTGTCATATACCATTCTTTCAGATGGTTGACGTTATCTATGACGCATAGTTGCCGAGCCTATAATAGTCTAAAGTGTAAGTAATACAAAATTTCTCTATTGAAAGATAAAAAATTTAATAAATGTCTTCGATATCATTTTATATCTTCCATTAATATTCCAGAGTAAATTTGACAGTCAATAATTACAAAATGTTCAAATACTAATAAAATTTAACACGTGCTTTACGTAAGAACTGCAAAGGCTCAGGCTAACATACAACAATTTTTTAGTTTTCATGCAACATTATTTGATTCATATGCAAGCGCGCACATATACAACTTTATGGTCGCATACAATTAAGCAATCAAACTGTTTGTTAAAAGAAATTGCTTAATTTCTTACAAACAAATCGCAATTTTTAAATAACGCAGTAGTTTAGTTGCTAAGATGTGCGCGTAACGATTTTACAATCTAAAAGTTGCATGTCTGCCTGAGCCCTAGAAGTAATAATAAAATTTTAATTCACATAATAATATTAAAATCAATTCCAGCTTATTTCATACAACTAGTTCCCACAAAAGAATTTAAACAAAGTTGAATACAATTTTCTATTTTAGTGCCAGTAATGGAAATCTTCATTTGTAAGTTAATTGTCAAAGTGGCTTAGTCAGAAACGCAATACTGTTATTAATTGAGCAATTTTCTAATTCATACTAGCTATAATAATTGGGGCTTCACTTTAATCTTTGTTAGGCAAATTAGATTATAAATTTTGAAAATCTCTTTTCTTCTAATGCTCTTGATTTATTAAAAAAACACACAGAATAAGAACATATTTCTAAAATTTTTCTTTTTATCCCCCAAGTTTTGTACAACACTTTTATTTTCTTCAAAAAATTTTAAATACTATTTTCGTGGCATGAAACAAAAAATAGCTGTCAGAACGAAAAAAGTCAACTTTTTAATATTTTTTTTTTTCAAATTTACCTTGTACAACAAAGCTATGGCGGACGAAAACAACCCAACTTTAATTAGATATACTTGACTTTTAAGCTTTTTACTCAGCTATATGTAGATATGGGTAGGTGTTATAAATTTATAAAAGAGAGATAAAGAGATATATAAAAAAATTATTTATATTTACACTTTTACACACACACCGAAACATATACTCACTTAAATCTGGATATTATTGTGTAGGTACTTCAAAAAGTTTACAAAATTTCCTTTGTGCTCTGTTGTTTTTTTTTTTGTTTAATAAGGCAGGAAAATCTTAAAGTTAAAAAACAAAAAAATAAATAAAAGAAAAGTTGTAGGTACAATAATAAGACAAAAAAAACATAAAAACAAAAAATATAAAACCGCTACAAGGCTTAAGGCTAATAACCGCTAAAGATTAAAGCAATGATGCTAATGACTGTTTTCTTCACTTTATTTTTAATTTTAGGGTACTTAGGTTTACAATATTCGTACACATATACAAACAAAAATACTTAAATGTGTACAAAATAAGAAAAAATATGAAAAAGTTTAAAGAAAATATCCTTAGAAAAGGATAAACTTTTCATATTTTTTTTTTTATACCTAAAGGAGAAGAATAAAGAAGAAGATAAAACAGTTAAAGAAATTTTCTAAAATTTTATAATACAATCTTTCAAAAGAAAACAATAAAGAAAAAAAGAAAATTGAGTTTTTCACAGTCAAATGATTTAAACTTTAGCCTGCAACATTAACAAAAGTACAACAAAACAAAAACACAAAACAAAAATTTCTTTACTTACCGAACTTTTTGGTTTCTACACCCCCCCTCTCCTACTCTATCATTTTTTTGTTTTATTTCTGAATAGGGTTAAAATACTAAGCAACACAAATTTAGAATAATTAAAATAAATCTGATTAATTTTTATTTTTAACAATTGCCGTCTACAATTTGTTTGTTTTTTCGTTTCATTTTGTTGTGCAAAAACAATTTCATAGTTTCATAAGATTTTCTTTTTCAAGAGTGCATTTGGGAATGATAAAAGAAATTTTCTTAAGAGAAATTTTGATTACCATAGTTTTAATATTCAGATTGTTAATATAAAATTTTAATAAAAAGTTAATCAAATAGGATTTTCAATACAAGTACCACATTTCCCTTAAATATATCAAATAACTGCTTAAGAACTATTCGCATACTATATTATTTAAACTACTTTCATTCGTGTTATACTAATATAATGTATATAAAATTATTGCATACATTTGGGATGAGGACAAGAAAAAATTAATATAATAGTTCAAAATTGGAAGGTGAGTTAAGACAAATGATTATATTTTGTGATGACATTTACCGTTTTCTGATTTTATCAGCTTTCTGATTTTATACAAATTTGCGAAAAGCTTGCAGTTCCGGAAATTTGATAAATTTTAGGATCAAGGTGAAAAAAAAATTTTCTTCGAACAAAATAAACTATTTATTAGTATCCAAAAGTTTCTATAAAATTTCAGTCTTCGAAAACGATATAAAAAATTTGGATAGAAACGGTCTTTAAATGACGATTAATTTCAGCGACCATTTTGTCATTGTAATGTTTAATTGCATTTGTTTTGTGATAGAAGAGGTCAGTCACTTGTTTTATGCGTTTTTAAGAATTCTCTGTCGTGTCAATGGAATAAAATAATCAACAGAAAAAATAGTGAAATAAAAAGAAAGGGGAGATATAGAATCGTAGTTTTCGAAATTTCGAAAACATAAACAAGTTTTTACTTATTACATTTACCTATGTTTTAATTTAATTCGGCACCTTATATCTACGAAACTGCTTGCTTTTCTAAAGATAGAACACGATCATTATTTACTGTTAATAATATTTTAGTAAAAAAAACCCCTTCCGTAACAGGTTACATTAAATTTAATTATATTTTAAACCTGTACTTTAAGTAAACCCCAAATACAAAATTAAATAAATACATTTAAACCATTTAACATCAATTTTAAAACAATGATTTTAAAAAGGAAAAGGCCAATTCTTTAATGTCATAGAATATTAAAATTTACCAAACACAATAGGTTTCCTTTTCACAATTTTTATATAGGCTTTTATTACCTCATTCATCATTGAAATTAAGTCATTTATATTAAGTATACAAAAATAAGAGAACAAAATAAGAATTAAATTAAAAAATAAAAAAAAAAAATCATCTTATATTTTAAAATTAGGTTTTCTTTTTCATATTAATAAACGATAAACCGACGTATTTAGCCTAACAATTTCTCCATATACATACTCGTATTAATGATATCTGAAACCCATGTCAAAGATTCTATACACAATTTTTACCTTTGACCCATTTTAAAAAAGGAATATCAATTACGTATACCTAAGTAAAGTATATCTAAGTATATACAAAAAGTTAAAGGTAAAATAAACTGGAAATCCTTGCTATCATACAGACACACACAATGCATGAGTATAAAATACCGATACTAAAGTATATTAAGAATAGATAAAGACAAAATAGAAATGACCAAAGCAGTTTAATTTCTTTCTGCTCTAAATATTTTTGTTCAACAAAAGCTCCCTATACAGAATAGTTTCTGGCTTTATTTTATTTTCTTTTTTTT